TTTTTACTTTAAAACAATAATTGTATTAGTATTAAAATTATTTTTAATACTAACTTCTTTTGTTAAAGAAAAGTACCTATTTTTTATATTTTTTATTTTGTAATTTCCTTGTTTTACATTTTTAAATAACGTTTAATATATGGTGTGGTTATTTTGCAATAAAATTAATTTTTGTAAAATTTAAGTTGAAAATCAAAATCTTTAGTCAATTAAGGTTCATAAAATATTGTCATTACTTACCTCCGCTGGCTTTTCCTGTGAGTGATATTAAAATTATCAAAATAAATATACATTTACATAATATAATACATTAACAAGACAATAACATATTTTTCTTGTAAAATATGAAGTTACAAAATGTAATTTAGCATTAAAATGTAACATAGAGTATTCGCCGCATTTGTCCAAATATTTGTACGTAGTCCAAACAACGCAAACACGACATCCACACTTGGCAAACCAACAATATCTTTACGCGTTTTCGCTTATTTGTGTATGTGTCTTATTTGTGCAAATATTTTAAATGAAGACGAATATATCCTCCACACATGGTGTTATATGGCCGAACACAAGAAATAAACGCCAAGTGAAATGCCTTCAGACATAAATGCGGTCTGACAAATATTTTTCAAATATAACTACAGTCATATCTTGGGTCATAATTTCATGTTCCTGACAATTAGAGTAAATTGATCCAAATTCTCTACTGAACGTGAATAAAACAATTTTATGTTCCACTTGTCTCAAAATTTTGGTACTCAGTCTCTCAACTGTAATTGTAATGTAGACCAAGTGTCTCAGATATTTTAGCTAATCAGGGTGACTGGTGAATTGCTATCGATACTTGAGGACGTGATATTTGACGATCATATATGACAAAATGAAAATTAATATAACATAAATATTAATAAACTTCTAAGTAAAGTTAAACAAAAGTTATGTAATTAATTACGCATCGTGTGAGCACCCTACAGATTAGGTATACACACACACACACGCGTGCGGTGGCGTGGTGTTGTATCAGCACGCCGCCGCACGCGTCCACACTTGGAACACTTGGGACGTGTCCACACTTTATTTATTTATACGGAAATTTGGTCAAAAATTAAGTACCTATTTTTTTTACATAATTCGAATGAGAATCATGTACCGCGTATTCTCCTTAAATATTGATAGTAATTCACCAGTCATCCTGTATAATTACTTAACTTAAAAACTTAATTTCATTTGAGACTGAACGTAGCTAATTTAGTGATGAAACCAATCATCAATTATGATGATGTTTACTTTCTTAACGGATTACACCTTAATAATATGATGGTTTAAGTCAGTGGTGACCTAGTGGTTAAAAGGCCCGCCTCTCATTCATGAGGGCGCGGGTTCGATCCTGGCAACTACCAATATGATCGTTCCGAGTCATATGTACTTTTTAAGAGTATTTAGACATCACTGATTAATGCATTCCCAAAGATGGTTGATGTCAGGCAGGCGGCCGGACGTAAAAAAAACAGCCAAAACTATTCACAACATGTAAGGCAGACCCTGGCTAACGCTAGGAAATTGTCAGGTAGAAGAAGATACTAGCTGACAAGCAAAACATTTTTTTGCCATAAAAATATAGCCATAAAAAAAAAATTCGTCCGAAATTAAAAATAATTAAGGGTGAACAACCTTTATGACTTAGGGGTATGAAAAATAGATGTTGGCCGATTCTCAGAGCTACTCAATATGCTCACAAAATTTCATCAGAATTGGTCAAGTTGGGTCAGAGGAGTATGATAAGTAACCTTGTGATACGGGAATTTTATACATATTTAAGATAACAGTTTTAAAAATATTAAAATTAATGTATTTAAGTTGTTGTAGTATAAAATCTCTGAATATATTATATCGATTTTGATAAGACTTCCAATATTAAGTAGGAGATAATAATGACCTTTTACCACATGATCTCGAGTTGAACTGATTCAGGCATAAGATTATCAAATGTATACAATAATAGATAAGAAATAATTGTAATAACATAAAAACATATACTAATAAATAAATATTCCATTAAAACAGTTTCTGATTATTAAAAAAAGATTAATTGAACCAGCCAGAAGATGAACATGATAATCTAAACACACGCAATAGATATTTAGACTCCACTTTCATGATATCTCCGACTATAGACACCAATTGAAATCGTTAAAAACCGTTAAAACTACCTCAGCAATGGCAGAGTTTTGCCTACTATGTATATTCTATTCAATTCTTGTTAACTTCACATATTTAAAAGGAAGATTATAATTTCGGTTTGAATATAATTATAGGCAGGTTTATTCTTAAAGATTTTTTACTTATATTTTTTTTCCAACAATTATGTAACTTCGGAATGATTTTGTTAAAGCATACTCGTAAACCTTCTTCAAATCACGATTTTAAATATGATTTAAAGTAATATTTCTTACGAACTATCATATTTTTTATCATCCTCTAATTGTTTTTTTTTTTAAGTAAGTTCTAAGAGTGAATTGATTTTAGTTCTGGACAGGCCCTAGTCATTTAGTAGGCTGTAGAGAGATTAAACTGTTATACGTCTCTCTCCTACTTCTACCGCGTACAAATACACGACGAAACTATTCCTATTGAGTTCGTTAGCGAGTTCGTAATATTTATTGCCCTAGAAGGCATGGTCTTCTAAGGAAAGTAAAGTTTATTATCACAACGTGCTTTAAAATTCACGAATACGGGAATATGTGTCGCCTGAACGCCGATTCAAAAATATGCTCTAGGATTTTATATAATAGAGTAAATAACAAATCGTAAATAGAGAATTGTGAATTGTTAACTTACGTCATCAGGCTGAAATCATAAACAAGTATTATATGAAATAAATTTTATATTTATTTATAATACTTTGATAGTTTCACGATATCAAATGTTTTACTTTTAAATATTTTAATAGAATAAATATCAATTACATACTATTGGGACAGCCAATGTCACGGCTAGAAGAAAACATACACCGACTATTTTCTGCCATTTTGATGTCATTCTGAAAAAAATATATATATACATATATTTTTAACCTGATTTCCTTTCAATATTTTAATCAAAGCTATACATTTCTAAAATCTCTCTCTTGTGTGAGAAATCAATATTGTTCTGTATTTAAAAAGTAGGATGTATAAACAAAATACTCTTATAGAAATAGAAACCAAGTTAAATAATGAAAAGGAAAAATAAAAAAAATATTGCAATATATTTTTGATCATAATTATTATTAGCATTGTGCAGATACTTATTTTCCTATTATATAAAAGAATTCATTGAATATTAAAACCATATTATTAAATAAGTTAGAAGAATTTTGTTTATAGTTCCAGCAACTTTATTTATCTCACGTATTTTAAAACAGACAAACCTTTTAGAATATTTTTTGAGTTAAAGTAGGTGGGCATAAATAATTAAACAGAAATCTTCGAATCGTTATAACTTTAGAAAAAAATATATTTAATAGACTCACATATATTGAACTAGGTTGCAACATTCAACATAAACGTGAAAACGAATAAATTTAATGTAAATTTTATTGCAACGCCATATATTTATTTTATTACAAATAACATTTTACTTTTATTTCTCCGTCATCGTAACTAATATGGGTTTGAATAGAAAAACTAGACACGTAAAGTATTATCACGTCATGATGAGAAATCGTAATTATTATGATTCATCATCATTATCAGCCTATCTGAGCCCACTGCTGAGCAAAGATCTCTTCTCACATAGAGAAGATTTGAACATTAACCACGCTTGCTCAAGACGGGTTGGCGATTTCAAACTTATAATTTCATATAAGCCCATGTTTCCTTACAAGATTTTGCTTCACCATCTGTCAATATCAGTGATGTCTAAATACTCTTATAAAGTACATATGACTCGGAACAATCACATTAGTACTTGCCAAGATCGAACCCGCGCCCTCATACATCAGAGGCAGGCCTTTTAACCACTAGGCCACCACTGACTTAAAAGTTATAAAATTTATTGCAGCATAATACGTTTGTAAAAAAGATCCAAATTAATTGAAGTAGTTGTCAAACTATTAAGTCTTTGGAAGCGTTATCAAATTTTCGTTTCAAGTATAAAATCCACTAAAGCGAAAACATAATGTTTTTTTATCACTCTCACTGTTTTTCCTGTCTGTGCAACAACGTTATAAAGTATATGCTGATAATTAAATTCATTATTATAAAGCAAAATATACAATTAAATTATAAGTCAGGATTAAAATCATATAATTATCTGATATATTTTATGTAAAACCTTCAAGATATACATTCGTATAAAACAAAGCAGTTATTTAAGAATGGTTCCGATTATAAAATAGTTTCGATTATAAATTTCAATTAACTGCTTTAGTAGGTTTAAGTTGAATGTTTGTAGACAGATAATAATCAATTAGATTTTATAAAGCAAAATTTATTGCTCTATATAAATATTAACAATATCTTATGGTTACCGAGCTTTGCTCGGTATTTAGGGACTGTTAGTATTTCTTTTGCTTTTTTTTTTTTTAATTTCGTTTAGGCATTATTAAGTGAACACGTTAAGAAGATACAAAACAATATAAATCAACAATTATTTTCTTAGTCTAGCCTCAAAACAAACACATTACTTTTTACAACGCCATCTGATGTTCTGTCGTTAAAGCAATTAGTAAAAGCAATTAGCAAGAAGTAGTATTACTATTCGCCAATAGATGTCAGGAAGAGTCATATTTTAAACTTCTTTTTGTAATTTCTTTTTTTTTAAATAAATTTGTCTAAATTGTCTAAATACTCTTATAAAGTACATATGACTCAGAACAATCACATTGGTAGTTACTAGGTTTCGAACACGCGCCCCCATGCACGAGAGGCGGAGCTTTAACCTATAGACCACCACAACATATGCAATAAAAAAAGTGTTAATATATACATAAATATATTTATTTATTTTTTTACAAAAAGTCACTTCGCTTCCTCCGATTTCTCTTGGTATTTCACGACGCCTTTTTCTATGAGTGATGGTATTTCGACTGCTAGCCACGGGCCCAACTGAAAATAACATAAGTTTGTTAAATGTGAAAAATAATTCAAAGAAACTTTATTATATGCTAAAACAGAGGTTCAAGAACTTATTTCTTGTAACCACTTAGAGAATAAATCATTTTTTTAGCACTTAAATATCTATTAAAAACCACTGTAACTTATATTAACTAAATGAAATTACAAATACAAACACCCAACCCTCTAGATAACGCGTATATACTTTTTTCTGGGTCTTTTAATATCCCATTTAGTCCTGTAGTCAAACAAGCTCACTTAATAAATGGACAGAAAAATAGATAATTAATCATATAAATATGATTTTATAAGTTTCCCCTACACTTTTTGTACTTTTTCATTGATATTCCATAATTAAATATATATGTAGTACTTACCCCTAAAGCCATAGCATGTGCTATACCGAACCTCGGTACATTTCTGGCCCACAGCGGTTTAAAATGATCAGTGAGACATATCTTGCCACCTCGATACATTTTGGCAGTCTTGCCGTCTAAACCAGGAAGCGCCAATTCTGGTGCTGTTGTCGGGTAGGTAATTGGTATCTGTAATCATTTATTTCATATTTTTCTATATATATATATATATATATATATATATATATATATATATATATATATATATATATATATATGCTCTAATCTGATAAAAAATAGCTTAAAATTGATATCAAACTGAAATTAATATGGAATTAAAAAAATTGTTTTGTATTAGTTATACTTGGTGTTATTAAATAATAATATGATGTCATGTGTAATGTAATTAGATCACTTTATTATATTAGGTTCCGTCATTCAGTCTTACTTAGAACAATACATATATTACAAACTTAATTTAATTGTTTTTTACATTAAAAAAATTATATTATAAAGAAAATCTATCTCTATCAGACAATTTAGTAAAAAATTTAAATAAATACTTAATAGAACTAGAAAAATTGTTATATAAATATAATTTTATTACTCACATCAAACTCGAGATCAAACTCGTATTTCAACAAGTTGTGGACATACCAACACTTGCCGAACCATTTAGTGCCAGACTTATCTGATTCGAGTCTGAACCAGTCATTGTCCGATTCTTTGTTGTTTTGGACATACTGAAAATAATATTAATAAGTTTATTAATATATTACAGCATTGACTCTTTAAATATTGTGTCCTATTGTCCATTATGCTTGTATTGTCGATACAAATGTGAACCATTTCTGTTTCTCATACAATAATTTATATTAATACTATGTGTTAAGATTTTATTTAAAACTATTGGCTATGTATGTAGTGAGATTATGCAAACTCGGACTAAACTTAAAGTTGTGAAAACAAAATAATATTTTGGAAAAATGAATATGTACTTCTATCAGTGTTAATCCTTCTAAAAAAAATATATTGAAAACAACTTAATACATTAATATATTTTTTATATTGACTTATAAATGCAAATAAATTAAAATGTTTACTATCAACCATATGGAAAATGTTGAAAAGATATATGTAATAATTGATTATTTAAAAAATACACTATTTAGAACTACTTACAACTACACTATTTATGTATAGTAACAATAACACTACTTACAACTGAGTAAAAATAATATTTATATATGTGAGTATTTGTTTAATTAAAACTAATATTTTTGAATGTACTATGTTTTTTAAACATTTTAAACTATGCTTTGCAGTTACCATGATCATGGACAGACAAGATGAATAAAACTTTTCTTTTTTATCTTAGGGAAAATGAAGTTTAAAATAAAAAAAATGTGTGGTCAAACTGGAAATATATATACATATATATAAATAAATATACTTTCAAACTTCTATACAGATTAATGAAATAAAACATGGAATGTGCCTACATATACATCTTGTCTGCCCATGATCACAGTTGCTGTAAAGTAGCCGAAACTTTGGGAGTATGTAGTTTATAGTTAAAAATAAAAAATCTCGTAGTAAATCCGAAAATATTAGTTTCATTTAAATGAATACTCGCGAAAATCTTAGATTTCTTTAAATGTTTATTACTTTGGTAGTATTGTAATAAAATTGTATGCAACAGATTTTTGTTCTTCCAGTATGATATAAAGACAAACTTTCTTTTAGTGTATTTTAATTATCAAGCTTTAATACTACGTAATAGTTACGTATCGCACATGTACATCCAGTCAGGCAGGTTGTTAATATTTTATAATTACGATAGCATTACGTATAGATATTTATGAAAATCACTGAATAAAATGGGTTACAGAAACATTAAAACATATTTTTTAATTAACTAACTTTAAATTCTGTAAAAATACCTTAATTAATGCTACATATTCCTCTTTTAATCTCATGGGCCATAATTCTTTATCCCGGGGGCCTGCCTTTGTTTTTAGTAAAGGTATACTACTTAACGTTTTTCTTGTGCCTTCATCTACCATTCTGTATTATTTCATTTACGTATCTCATAAAAAATTACACTTTTTTAACAAAAAATCCACATCACCACAAACGTCAAGCACAAAACTTTCACTACCTATTTAGATAAACTATTAGTGCCAGATCACAAGTGTCAATGTCAAATTTGAGTTTTTCTTATTTCCTCTTGGAAAGGCTAAGATCTTAATTCTGATCTGAATTTAATTTGGATTTTTAGTAATCAGTATTTTAGTAAAAATAAACACAATACTTTTAGAAAAAGGACCATTAGTAAATTAATAGAAAAGGACCTGTAAGTAAATTAATAAAGTAGGTAGATTTTTATGTTCCTTTAAATGAATACAAAGAAGAGATTTGTTTTTTATCTTTATTTTTTATTCTTTATTTTTTGTTCTCCTAAGTAAGTTATTTAAGTAGTAAGTTATATATAATCAATTATTATTATTAGTAAGGACGGTGAGAAAGAAATATGAATGAATTTTAATAGCTCGAATGTTGTAAAACCTTTGCTCAAAATATAAGACACCAGACCCTAGAGGTATATAAAAAAAAGGATATCAATAATCAAAGTCAATCAGACTATCCTTTTGTCATAAACGAAATATTGAAAATTTAAGTTTCTATTGCTTCATGAATTATTAAGAAAAAAGAAAAGAAAATAATAAAAAGTCTAAAGTCATTAATATACAAGAGCAATAGTGTAGTTATTTCAAGAAACCGTGATAGTATATTTTTGAAAAAATTAAATATAAGTTATATCGTGGTTTATATACAAACAGTTCCTGGGTCCAACGTATTTGTCAGTCAACTGTTTTTAGTGAGCGATGGGTTCCGAGCAATCCTTGCCTCCAAAGAAACAGCCTCAAAGGCCACCAGTACGCCGCGGTCACACTATAGCTACATCAAATCTTCCCGGTAAAAACAAAAATATTATTTTATTTTATAGTAAATTGCGACAGGTTCATCTTTCATTGAAAATAGATACGGTTTACATTAAAAACATTACATTTTGTATAGTAATCAAATAACATGTTTCGTAAATTACGATAATTTGCATGAATATTTACAAATATCTTTGTTATATGGACCTATCTCAATTAAAGGTAAATAATTAATAAAATTCAGTTCTTGTTCCTGTTAATAACATATATGCTTCACTATTTATGTATTGAATTAGTGAATTAAGTATTATTTGTGTTAAAGAGAGACATTTATAACTTTTTTTAACACTGAGCTGATTTACTATTAGCAACTTATTTTATAAAGGAACTAATCCTGGCGGAATTGTCAATTTTACCATTCTAAATTTTCCTATGCAAATCTTAAATTAATGTTAATTTTAACAACATAATTATTGAAATTCTATGATATTTTATAGACAGCAGACGTCAGGATTCTACGAGTGGTAATAATTCCCCCGGAGCTAGCATGTGTTCTGATTCTGAACTGCCGTACATATCATACACAGTTGATAGACCTATCGGAGGTATGTATATAAATTTAATATATGATTAATTAGAAATTAGCTTTTAACAATATAACCACCCTGTATACCTATCTTTATTCTGCGAAAGTTATGATTAGTAAATTTGATTAACTCAAAACATGTTTATTTATAAATGATGGAAAAAAATTAATTTTAATACTGCTAATATATCAGTGGTGGCTCAGTGGTTAAGAACCCGCCTCTCGTCGCCGAGGACGCGGGTTCGATCCTGGCCCGGGCAAGTACCAATGTGATTTTTCCGAATCATATGTACTTTCTAAGAGTATTTAGACATCATTGATTGATGTTGTTTTCCAAAAAGAGGGTTGATGTCAGGCAGGCGGCCGGTCTTAAAAAAAAACAAAAAGCCAAAAACTATTCACATCATGTAAGGTAGACCCTGGCTATAGCTGGGAAATTGCCAGGTAGAAGAAGACTGCTAATATTATAACTGCGAAAGTTTGTGAGTGTGTGTGTGTATGTTTATTACTTCTTCATGCTCAAACAGCTGAACCGATTTTGATAAAATTTTGTATACATGAAGCTGTCGTCCAGTAATAACACATAGGCTACCTTACATCCCGGAAAATGTTCGAGTTTTCCTCATATAAGCGAAAAACCATTTTTATTTACTTGAGAAGTCAACTCTTAGGCAAAATGACATTATCGCTATGTACCTTTTACCAGTCTATGTAGGCATGATCGACAACCAATAAGCATTCCTTAAGTTAAAAAACAAAGTTATGATGGACAATATCTATAGACAACAGTTTCTTTCTGTAGTTAATTTGTTAAATACTGCCAAACTATTCATGTTAACGTAATTTTTAATTTTTTTGACATTTCTGTTGTTTTGTAGTTGTTGGGTATTGCCCCATTTGTGGGCGTTATTTTATATATTACTAATGCCGAAATTAACGCGGACGAAGTCGCGGGCAAATCTGGTAATTTCATAAAGATTATGTAGAAAACCATAAAAAAACTTTCCAGCAATATAATTAAAAACTATTCATATGAATTCTTCAGATTCACCGAAAACAAATAAGACTCAGAGAATTCAAGACAAGAAATCTTTGTTGCAAAGGAGGCAGTTGAGTTTGCAAGCGAGAAAAAATAAGAGAACCAGGGAAATAGTTGTTGTTAAGCCGGCAACAGACACACAACTGGACGAGGATATAAGAAGACTTCAGGTATATGAATACTACATGATAAAATGGGCTTTGGAAATAGAGGTTCGATGATTACAGCAATAGTAGGTTCTTTACAAATTTGGTTAGGTAGAGAGAGAACTTGGACAATAGAAGTCAGCATTTAATGCGTTAGATTGATGAATACAAATCAATCTTGATACTTGTTGCAATATAATTTTGTTTATAAATTTTATACATTTACTAGAAGACCCGGCGAACTTCGTATCGCCCTATAATCAAGAAATATCTGTTACGTTTTTTTAATAAATAAATTTAGGTAATACCTTAGCCTCAGAAACTGTTGTGGTTATGCTATTATTAAATAGTCGCTCATATATGACGTTTGTATTTTTATAATAGCGCCATCTATACTTAACTCAGTCAACAGATAATTGTAATAATGACAAATCATTTTCTTTAATAGACAAATAATTTGCCATAAAATAATATTGTGACTATAAATTGAGATGTGAGCTAACCTATCTCTCAAGTTGGATCAAAATGCACACGGAATGCAAATCAAATTTAAGATCGGTTTAGTAGTTTAGGAGTCCATCGGACAAACACGTGACACGAAATTTTTATACATATATATAAAAGATAGGATACCTCCTGATGATAATTGATTTACATTTTTGATAATTCCGTTAAGCGGACATTTCTGCCTTCATACAAACTTTCTTTTGTATATATTATATATATTATAATGTGTATTTACATACAGGATATTTAACAGGAATGTGTATATTTAACAGGAAATCCCAACATTTCTGCCGATAATGAGAGGAACTTTAGGCTTACCGGGCGCCAAGGATCCCGAGGTACTAGAAGGTCGGTACATTAAATATAATCCTACTAATATTATAATTGCGAAAGTTTGTGAGTGTGTACGTGTGTTTACGTGTATGTTTGTTACTTCTTCGCGCTCAAACGGCTGAACCGATTTTGATTAAATTATGTATACAGGGAGCTGACGTCCAGGAATAACACATAGGTTTATTTACATCTCGGAAATCAGCGGGTAACACCGCGGGGCGCAGCTAGTATATTATAAATATATGTTATATGTGTGTTTGTTTGTGATAGGATCAAGTATAGTTAGCATTAAACTCGTTTATGACTGTTGTGATGGATTTGTAATGTTATGACATAGTATACTGTGACCAGAACGCTTTGTAAGCTACTTTTCTGCTCACAAATATACAGGGTGACTGGTGAATTACTATCAATATTTAAGGAGAATACTCGGTACATAATTCTCATTCGAATTATGTACAAAAAATAGGTACTTAATTTTTGACCAAATTTCCATATAAATAAATAAAGTGTGTACACGTTCCAAGTGTTCCAAGCGTGGACGCGTGCGGCGGCGTAGTGTTGTATCAGCACGCGTGTGTGAGTGTGTGTGTATACCTAATCTGTAGGGTGTTCATACGATGCGTAATTAATTACATAACTTTTGGTTAACTTTACTCAGAAGTTTATTAATATTTATGTTATATTATTTTTTATTTTGTCATATATGATCGTCAAATATCACGTCCTCAAGTATCGATAGTAATTCACCAGTCATCCTGTATACTAGAAGACCCGGCGAACTTCGTATCGCCCTATAATCAAGAAATATCTGTTACGTTTTTTTATTTATATTTTTGGAATTTACCTATTAAAGACAAAGTCTCCGTGTTTTGAAGCGACAGAATGATTGACATATTTGTTAGTTGTCAAATCTAATGTCAAAAAAAACGTTTGTATCAACAACTACTAATAAATTAAAAATTAATTAAAAAAATATTGTCCAGCGGACAAAATTGTTAATCTAAACCAGTCCCAGATCCCCTTGAACACACACAAAAAAATTCATAAAAATCGGTCCAGTCGTTTGAGAGAAGTTCAGTGACATACACACTCACAGACGAATTATATATATAAAGATGTATTTATTATCAGGTTTAGATTCCCGTCCATGGATCAGAATGTCTTCACGAATCCAAGCTCATTTGGCAGCCTGCGCCCAGCCTCTCGCCGCTGACGAGATAAATCTCGCTAATAAAATCAAAGAGGTGAAAACTACCCTCATTTGTTATATATTTTAAACTATTCTTTTTGTTACAAGATTGGACGTACATTAATAATTTATATTTAATAAAGTTTAAGTTAATAATACTTTAATATTTTCTCTTACTTCTAATTACATACATTTGACTGTGAATATATAAATAAATTATGTACGGTCGTCATAAAAATATCAATTTTATAAATAACTAAATAAATTCGCAAACTATGCATACATCAGATCTTATCTTTATACAATGAATTGTTTGAAATATTTATCATAATATGTACAAATTCAATTTTATTTGTATCTTAAAACAGGCGGATACGGAAATAACACGCTTGTATACAGCGGCTGTTGAGAAACAGCGGAGCAACGCTAGACACGCGGAGAGGTTGTCCCGTGTTAGAGAACTACATCATCAACTATCACGTTGTAACTCACTGTTGAACCAGGTGATACATTGACTGGCTGGCTGATGAATTTAGTTGGCTGAATGTTGTTTTGACTGGCTGATTGATGAATCTAGTTGGTTGAATATTGCTTTGACTTACTGGCTGATGGATCTAATTGGCTGAATGTTGCTTTGACTGACTGGCTGATGAATCTAGTTGGATGAATGTTGCTTTGATTGGCTGATTGATGAATCAAGTTGGTTGAATGTTGCTTTGACTGACTGGCTGATGGATCTAGTTGGCTGAATGTTGCTTTGACTGGCTGATTGATGGATCTAGTTGGTTGAATGTTGCTTTGATTGGCTGATTGATGAATCTAGTTGGTTGAATGTTGCTTTGACTGGCTGGCTGATGAATCTTTTTCAGACTATAACAATTTATGTTGATCTGAGTTGTATAAAGATTAAAAGAATGTGTTTTTTATTAAATAGACCAAATTGTTTTTACTTGTATTTTTGATGTCTTAACAGTACATATAATGAATTTTTATATTTCAGACTCTTCAGGATATAGAGGAATTAAATCAATTGTTACCAGAAAATAAAAGATTAGAGCCGTTTGTATGGAATGAAAATAAAACGAGCACGTAATTGAAATTTAAATATATGAAAAAAATATTGATCTCAATACATATGTAACTTCATAAACATTATGTTAGTAGTTATTATATCATCAATAAATTATAATAAAAGCTTATATAACAAATGTCGTTTTATTATAAATTTATATAAAGTATACTAATACTATACATATATGAAGTTTACCACAATAAGTAATAGGTTTAGTTAGAGAGTGAAGCTTGTACGGTGGAGGTGAGCGTCAAATGAAACGTTGGGAGTATTTAGTTTTTTACAAAAATAAAGTCACGTAGTGTAATCCTAAAAATATTAGTTTCATTTAAATTAATAAAACTCGCGAAAATCTTCGATCTCATTACATGCAGAAATGTTGCAAAGAACGTTTTTTGGTATAAAAATTCTTGAATGTCATTTTAACAGTTCAATTTTATTTTTGTTACTTAAACTAAGGTTTATTAAATAGAAGTGTGTTTTCACTTTTCAAAATGATTTTAATCGTCTGATTAGTAAGAAATGTAAACGATCACCGGTCGAAACTTTGAGACAATACTTTTCAATTTTAATTTAATATAATATTTAAAATTTATTACCATAATTGTATTAAATTAAAGATTTTTTCTTTTCTTGCAAACAGTCTTGAAATTCGGAGATAATTTCAAAGTACTTTTAAATAGCTACAATATCCGCTAGATGGCACTTACATTAAAAAGTTATAATAAAAAATTTCTCATTATTTCAGATTATTAATATAGTTTTTTAAAATCCTAATCCTAAATTTAAACGCCTGTTTGGGTGTTGTGTTTGAAACTTTACTGACAGGTAACCGATGTAATAAGGAAGGACGCGGTTACTACAATATTTGAAAGGTTATTTATTTCTATTCATATATATTTAACAGAAAACTATTGATTGTGTACAAAGTCCCGAGCGCAGCCAGTTCATAATAATTAGTTTAATTTTTGGTCTTAAATATATTTTTTTACAAAATATAGATGATCTTAGCAAGGGAATTTTATAGTTAAAACAGTTACGGACTGTGTTGTTTTTTATTTACCTTCCATATGAAACACAAATTAAAAAAAATGTCAAAAAACTAAAAAGCAAACAGGGTCTCGAGAGTACATTTGAAATTAAAGTTTTTATTTTTGCGACATCTATTGGTGTGTATTAAAATTATTTAAAGAAGTAATTTTCTATGTACTATACTAGCGACATCTATGACTTCAAAAATAAGGTTTAATATTTTTTTCTGCCAATAGATTTCACTTAATTAATAGGTGAATTTGAACATCTTTCGTGATTACTTATAAACAACAAAAAGCAATATAATAATTTCGGAAAAAAAGTTACAAAATTAGTTAATAAGTTATTTGTTGTTTTAAAAATGAAAGCTTTTCGGAGTCATTAATTCTTAAAAATGTTATGAAACTTTTATCTAAGATCATTTGAATTTGTTTTTTCATCTTAAATCACGCCCGGGGCTACGTCTTTGTACTGTTTAATGGATTCAATGAATTCTAAACACATTGTAAATTTCTTTACACGTGATTTTATTGCCCAGTCGTTTAGAAAAGCTTTTACTTATAAAACGTTTGATGCAAAATAAAATTAAAATTATCAAAATATAACAAGTGGTTCCTCTCGAAAGTACTTAAAATTTAAGGCCCTTGTGTGTTATATTTCGTAGTGGTTGAAATTGATTCACAAGGAATAGTTTAAACAATTATTTTAATTTTAAAAGTGACTCTCAAATCCCGCTTTTGTTGTTATTGGTCCACTTATAATTCAATTACTTACGTGTTTTATTTTGTGATTCAGTCGAGTATGTATATTGTAGTAGACCTTATCCAACATATTAATAAATTTAAGTCATTATTTTTACTTAAAAACTTTATAATTGCATTTCAAATTAATTTGATGAAATTTTTGCGCAAGCGTACCATAAAGTTTGTTTTGTTAGAAATTGCATTGAAGTAAAAGAGACGAAATGTCGTTATTTTAATACGAATAGACAAATAGCCTATCTAGTCCAATACTAGTTCTCAACATTTGAAGCTCTTGAAATTAGTCGCGTAATACGATCGAATAATTTTTAAGAGTGCTTATAATGTAATTAAATTTGAAGCTTATTTTATGTACATAAGGTATATAGTTGTATAATAACGTTTGACGGCTCCTGTCGGTCGCCATTTTCAATAATGGCCACGAGTACCACGACATCTACACAGTTTAGTGTCACCGCGAGCTTCTCTGGCGTCGGTTGTGCGTCCGATCGGCCTCGTTCATTGTTTGCAACCATTGTATAACAAAAATGACACGAAAAAACATTCATAACATATATAATAATGATCGAATCATTACATTATAGTTGATTGAAAGTGCGTTCCTTTGTATACAGTGTTTAGTTCGCGTTAGACGTTATTAGCTAGTAAAATAACGAATTTAACACGCTGCAGTACTGTTTGAATTGTCGTGAACCTAGTGGAATCGATTTTTAGATGTTATTAATGAAATTGCTAAGTTGCATGGGAGTGATATTGTTTGTAAAGGGAACCTGTTTTATAGTACAGCATACGCTTTGACTCTAACTGTTACCACAGCGGCCGGTTGAATCAATAGATATAATAAAAAATGCATATTTCGTCCATGGTATTATAGAGGTTTCGTTCAATACAGTACCGGCACGGCTTTCGCGACCGAATTATTGTCAATGAGTTTTCCTATGTTACGTATTGTTGGGATATAATAAATAAGTGATGGTGAAACAATACGACGCACTGGTTTTCTAACCCACTTTGAACGACTAAGGTTAGTAACTTGGTAAACAAACACCACCTTACTCTAGTTTAATAAAATTATTTGTAAACTATTACTCTAATTAACTATTATCGTGTATTTAACTCTTCAACTTATCCAGCGCGTTTTAATATATACGATGTACGGATGGAAAGAATATAATAAAAATAATGATAATATGTGTGTATCGCGTGAATACTTTATCTAAACCGAAGATCTATCGTTGTTATTTGACATAAAAAATGTAATGCCATAGATTATGTGCTTTCATATAGATTAACTGCTATTATGCTTTTTTTGTTCAAACATAAAGGAGTATTTATACAATAAAGTATATAAATCAGGATTTAAAATATTATTTTATTTAAATAAATATTTCCAATAGATATTTTTGATTTTATTCTTTATATTTTAATTAACAAGTCATTGAAGTTTAATGCATTCCAGTTTGTTTTACCTTGAAGTATTGTATAAAATAATTTATTACTGTTTTATATTTAATGAAATTATTTATTTATTCACGATCTTCTTGTTCATATACCTTTGTTTTAACATTATAAAGCATTATGTTGAATCGAAATCCTTCTTAGAGAACAGAATTAAGACTTATCCTGCATTGAATAAATGGAATCAGTTTTTAATATCGATTCTCCATTTTGTATGGTAAAATTAGCTATATATATATATATATATATATATATATAATATGATATATTATCACATAAGAATTGAAAGAGGAATACAAAAGATGACCATATCGCTGATATGTAATGCTTCTATCTAACTTTTCATACTACTTACAAAATGTTAATAAATATGTAAACACTTAGGAAACCTTTATTTTAACACCTTTTATAATATATGTATATATGCTGAAATTATTACAGTACATAATATAATATTATGTTTTTGTCTTGTAATATATAATTTTAATATATATACTTTTTACAAGTATTGTATATGGTATTTAAATATTTTATTTTAAAACATGCAATAGTTAATATATATATATATATATATATATATGTGGTTTAGTTGTATAGTAATTTACTTGACTGATTATTATGAAAATCTTGTATATCTATAGTATAATGTATGGGAAGTATATTGTTCATGAAATTCTTTTATTTCTTATATGTGATATTAGCCTTATAATATTAAATATTTAGTATTATACAATTATTTTATGATCTTTTGATTCAATGAATCTTTTTTTAATAATCAGAAATGTTATGTTAACAGTTTTTATGTTATTACAATTATTTCTTATCTATTATTGTATGCATTTGATAATCTTATGCCTGAATTAGTTCAACTCGAGATCATTTGGTAAAAGGTCATTATTATCTCCTACTTAATATTGGCAGTCTTATCAAAATTGATATAATATATTCAGAGTTTTTATACTACAACAACTTAAATACATTAATTTTAATATTTTTAAAACTGTTATCTTATATATGTATAAAATTCCCGTGTCACAAGGTTACTATATACTCCTCTGAAACGACTTGACCAATTCTGATGAAATTTTGTGAGCATATTGAGTAGCTTTGAGAATCGGCCAACATCTATTTTTCATACCCCTAAGTCATAAGGGTTGTTCACCCTTAATTATTTTTAATTTCGGACGAAATTTTTTCATTTTTATTTTTTATAATGTAGCATTAAAAATACATACAACTCAAAAATGTTACTATACAATCACTATATTTTTATGGCAAAAAAATGTTTTGCTTGTCAGCTAGTATATATGTATATATATATAATTAAATATATTTATTGTTTATAATTTTGGCTGTATAATGTATATCGCGTTTTAAATAATCTTTTTTATATAAAACCCTCTTTGTGCGACGCGTGCTTCCTGTGTTACGTATGATATGTAAACAATTCCTGTAATCTCTGTTCTGGCACAAAGAAAGCCCTTTTGAGGTCTTTTTATCTCGCCGCATATAGGCCGTGTTTACACACGCGGAGTCGGTATGGAAATAATAATAAAGGTTTGTTTATTATTTATATATAAATTAAAGTATGAATTATTACATTTATATCATACTAGCTTTCCGCCCGCAGCAGTTCGGTTATATCGCGTTTCCAAGAGAACTTTTCAAAAGTTTGCCATAAAAACTATCCTATGTTCTTTCTCAAGGTCAACTCTATGTCTGTACTAAATTTCATTAAAATCAGTTCAGTGGTTTAGGCGTTAAGGCGTA